CAAAAAATATTATTAAATTATAATTTATAAACTTTATTTTAATATGAAATAAAAATTATTTTTTAATATTAAAGAAAAATTTTAATTTTAATTAATAAAATTAATTTTTTAATTTTATAATTATAAGTATTATTATATATTAAATTACAAAATATTTATTTATTATATTTATTTAATTATAATGTTATTAAAAAAAATATTATATTTTAAAATAAGTATTTAAAGTTAAATATAAAAAGTATATATAAATTTAATAAATTTATTTAAAAATAAGTTATTTTCTTTGATCTTTAAAAATTATATAAAAATTAGTAATTTATTTTTGAAATTTATAATATAATTAATATTATTAGATTTAATAATTAAAAATTATTAAACTAAATTATATTACTTTTATAAAATTATTTATTAATTTAATAATATAATATTAAATTAAGTTTAATATAATAATACTGAATTAGTTTTGAAATTTGTAAATATTATTTAAAAATATATATATAGTTATATTATAATTTTGATCTAAAATTATAAATACTACATAATTTTGACTAATATTAAATTAAGTTATAATTAAATAAAATAATGTGACTTTGAATTAATTAGCATTAAAGAAATTAAGCCATAATTCATGCTTAAGCCATGTGATTCTATAATAAAAATAAAAATAATAAAAATTCAAATTATTTTAAAAATTCAGAATTTATTTTAAAAAAATTTTGCAAATCCCTGTTATAGCCTTACAATAATGAAAAGCACGTATAAATGACACTTTCTTAAAGACTTAATAATTACATAGTTTTATCTAATTTTTTAAAATAAATGTCATGCGGCTGATCATGGCTCATGCAAGTCAACTTGCTACTGTGTTGAGGATTGAAGATTTGGGAAGTGGGAGTTTTTTTTCAATCCTATTTATTTTTGGATGTAGACGACTTTTTGAAGCCTAAGAAAATTATGTAATATTAAGTCATTTTTTAAGGGGATAAACCAATCAAACCGGGAAGATTAAATGTGTAATGGAAAAAATTCAAATGTTTATTTTTGAAAAATAGCTTGTATCTTGAAATTTCGTCCAACAAAAGATGTTCCTTGCAAATTTCAAATTTCCTAATTTGGATTCTGAATTTTCCTTACGTTCGATTAGAGACAGGCTATTTTTAATTAATAGTCCTTTCATTTCTTTGAGTGCATTCTTATTGGATATAAATTTTATCGCCACTGGCCCGGAAAGATCACCTGATTCAGCACCGTCCCTAAATACTGTCCGTAGGCTTCCCGTTAAATTTTTGATTTATAAATTCACATGATTTGTTCATAAAATTCTGAATAGTTTCTTTAAAGAACAATATTACTTAAATAACATCTCTGTAAAGTGTCGAAAAATGACAATATATTGTTAAGATTTTCTAACCATATCTCTAAGAATATCACGTCGCAAGGAACGTCAAAGCACTGAAGAAGAGCAGCCAAAGAAAAGCAGAAAAACGTCAAGTAGAACAATGGAGGCCAAAAAGAGGGGAGGTAGACTAACAATTTGCGATGATTTTTTAAAAATCGATCAGAGAAAAAAACCGATCGATCGTTAGAAATCGGTCGTTGAAAATCGTGAGAAAAGATCGAGATTTCAATGTGGTTGAATCGACTATTGTCCGTTCTTTATAAATAGTTGCTTTACCTTCTACCATCAAACTTGGTTGAGGAAACTTGGTTGAGGAGACTTAGAAAACCTCAAACATTCCTTTTCACTTCTCTGAACTTATTCTCTCTTTAACTCCAATCCCGTGTATAAACAGTTTCTTTCAAAGCATTCAGCAAGCCTTCTTCAAGTTGAATCTCTCAACAGAATTCCAAAATATCTACTTTAGAAGTCTTAACAAAACGCTTACTAATTATCAGTGGTCTGTATTACGAAACACTCACGTAATGACTTCGTCCCGAAAAGATACAAACACTACCAATTTTCGTGGAAGGCTTGGGTATGCATGCCTTAATGTTTTTCTCAGGAAACAAAAACCATCAATATTTTGTGCGAGGACATGCAGGATTGAAACCATTAAAGAAAAAGGGATGGGATATGTCCGTGAACTCGGACTTCAGAATATCAGAGATTTACTTGAATTGGTCAAATTTAATGAAAAACACAATATTAAATTTATGCGTGTCTCTTCTCAAATGTTTCCATTTGCCAGTTCAATTGAATATGGTTATTCTCTTGAGTTCGCAGAAAAAGAACTAAGACAAGTTGGTGAATTTGCTGCCAAACATGGACATCGATTGACAACACACCCGGGACAATTTAATCAACTCGGTTCGCCTACTCGAGTCATAGTTGAGAAAACCATTAGAGATCTCGATTACCATGCGGAAATGCTTGATCTCATGGGTTTACCACCCGACTCGATTATGATAATCCATATGGGAGGCACATATGGGAATAAAGAGGAAACTATGGAAAGATTTGAGATGAATTATTTGGCTTTGTCACCTAGAATTAAGAATCGATTAGTTCTAGAAAACGATGAATTGTCTTATTGTGTTCAAGATCTTTTGCCATTATGTCAGAAATTGAGTATTCCCCTCGTTTTGGATTGGCATCATCATAAATTGCATCCCGGAACTCTGTCCCTTGAAGATTTACTTGCCATAATACCCGAGGTCAATAAAACTTGGACTGATCGTGGGCTCAAACCTAAACAACATTACTCTGAAAGTCGCCGAGGTGCTAATTCGAAATTAGAGAAGAGGGCCCATTTCGACAGAGTGGTTCAACTCCCGCCTTGCGATCCAGATATGGATCTGATGATTGAAGCAAAAGACAAAGAACAAGCGGTATTTCAACTATATCAAAAGTATAACCTATTCGAAGTAGACAATTCGGTTTTAGTACCACCTGATGAGGTTGAATCAACGCGAACTAAGGGTCGTAAAAGCAATAAACGGAAAGTGATCGAGGTAGAAGCAGAAGTAAGTGACGATGAAGAGTCTCAAGATGCGCTCGTAGAGGAAATCGTAAAAAATACACGTAAGCGTGGTAATAATGGAAGCAGAAAGCGCAAAAAGGACGAGGAAATTGTCGTTAATTTAAATATCGACAATAAATCATCGAAAAATCAACACAAAAAAGATGTTTCGAATCGTGAAGAGAAGATCAACCAGTCTGATACAACATTCATTACTGATCTTGCTTATCCATCAAACGAAGATACCACTATATTACAAAAGGAATCATCAAATGATACGATTGCAAACAGAACAAGAAGAAAAACCAAATTATTAAATACTGGTTTATAACGTAATAATTAAAATATTAATTGATTGGTTTTATCATATTGTTTCTTAGCATACATACATGGATGGTTCAATTCATGTGTTGTAAATAGAAAGTTTGATGATAATTATTAATAAAAAGCATTAATTAAATAACCTTTGAATGTTAATTAGAAATAATTTTAAAAATTTTCAGCGGTGTAATCATTGATCCGTCAAAGTTGCGATTACTTCCTCTACTTTTGAAATACTCCTTTGACGTTTAGCAGATGGGTTCGGTTTTCCACCAGCTTCTCGAGCAAAAACGCTCAATATATCCGTCAAACTGACAACGCCAACTGGATTCATTTTCTCATCGACTACCCAAACACGATGAGCTTTTGTTGCGGTCAGTTTCGCAATGGCATAGCCTATTGTAGAATTTGGACTTATATCGAATACAGGATATCGATCCTGCCCATCCTCTAATCCTTGACGACTTCTCACATGACTAACAAACTGATGACAAGTTCGCCACAATAAAGAATGACGATCGCTCCTCAAGATATACTGTAAATTATAGCACATATCAATCATTGAAAACACAGTATCAACTTATTATATACTCCAAAATCACGGTCTTTTCCTTACTTTGATATCTGACATGCTAATATTTCCAATTAACATTCCATTTTCATCGGTTATTCCTGTATTAATTATTAGACTCATTAGTTAATTCATTTAAGACACACATAATCAAAAACAAATTACGATAAACTTGTAAAACTAAAATAAATGACAACGCAAGAAAAGAAAGCTTGCCAATACTGCTAAGACCATTTTTGTTCATCATTGTTAACGCATCGAGAACATTTGAATTAGCTTGTGCAGTTATGACAAAACCCATTCCAATTCCAAGCTCACGAACCTACAAAATCATTATAAGATGGGTTGCTGACACAAATGAAAAAAATATGAGCAAATCCTTACAGTTTTCGGGAAAATTCCTTCAATTTGCGGAAAATGGGTAACCTATTAAATTATAATAAAAATAAATATAATGAGGTAGGTCATATCATGGTCAAAAATTAAAAAAAAAGACTGGCTTACATTTTGATACAGATAATTAATAACGGTCGATTGTGTTAATATCCCCTTCAGATTTCCATCAGCATCCACAACCGCAACTGAATATAAAAGAATATAAGTAACTATTGAAAAAATTGTATATATAAAGCAAAACATAATATTTACCTCGATGAGTACCACTTCCAAACAATTCGACGACTTGAAACAATGATGTCTCAGGTATAACAGAATAAAATGGATTTTTATTCGACAAATCTTTTTTCATAATAAAAAATCCATCATTACTACTCAACCTCGTTTATTAAGACAGGAGTCTTTGAAAAACTTACCAGATGCTAATTTAACAGGGACTGGTTGACACTGTATTGCCAATTTAATTAGATCCCTGAATTCTGAAGTTAATTGTTCTTCGCTTTTCTGTTGTTGTTCTTTGATATTCTTTTTCTTGAGTACGATCAATAAATAAGACATCACGTCAGCCCAATCAAACATTCCTATAAAATTCTTTACGTGAGCGTCGTAAACTGGGGCCGAAGAAATATTATTTTTTATCAATATCTAAAAAAATAGAATTTTAGTTGAATTCTTAAAAATCAAAAATCAAAAATCAAAGAACAAAAAAAGTAAAGAATTATTACATCACAAGCTTCTTCAATGGGAGTATCACCATCACTAAACACAACAAAAAGGTAAACGGCATTCAAATTCAAATCGGTAAAATCACAGAATTTTTGAACCAAAAACTCACACGATAATAACATTTTGATCTATAACCAAGTCAATGACTTTTATCGTGGTCCAATCTTTGCTTTCTGTGGTAATGCCTTCACGATGAGCTTGATCTTCATCTCCTGAAATGGTAGAACGGCGAGAACTAGGACTAGGCAAGCCAGTTTTTGGATCCATAACTCACAAATTGTTAATGCAGACACGCGTGTATACGCTAATAATTGAACAACCAACAATTGTTTAAATCTATGTGCAGAATGTGCAGCTTAACATCAGGAGAAATGTCACCCTATAAGAGGGATTGGCACGAAAATTTTTCTTGGTGTTACTAAGCTATTTTAATCGCCCGAACACGTAATTTGCATAGGCCTAAATTATATTCTGTTACGTCTGCTAGAACTTTTTTCATTTTTAAGGTCAAAGCCGGACGGGTAAAACACTATGCATATAAATTATCGAAGCAAAAGCAGCTATCAATAATACCTTATCTGTTTCTAGTTAATGCGAGTGCTGAGAAAGTAATAACATTTTTCCGATTGTAGAGAGCGCTGGAATGATCAGATTGAACGTTGGTGTGAAATCCGCCGATTTCAAGAAAATTTCGACAAGTGGACAAGTGGTTACCTGACGTCGTTGCCTTAATCAAAGAAACGCCACCAGATTCCATGATTCCCTACGAAAGTCTTTAGGATGTGAAGTTTTTGGCAAAAGGAGATTCGTAAAAGTATATTCAATGACGCGGGAATTATCTTCTACATCAGCTCAATGAAATTAAAGTTGCTCTCAAATGTCCGCAGAATCAAGAAATTTTGGTGAGGTAAGTTCTGTGATAATATTATGTATGTCCGAAAATTTTTTCACAACAGATCAGCGCCTATATCGCTCGTGCAAAAATATTCCCACTCGTTGATCATGATAGTTTAATCGCGGTAATATCAGCTTCATTCTGCCATCTTTTATAGCACTAATAATATTAAGCTATTAGCAATGAATTTTTTACAGGAAAATAATGATGCTAAGAATTCCCATATCCTACAATGCTATGGCATTGCATGTGATTCTTCTCAAGGTTATATGATGGTCTCTGAATATGCCCCTCATGGTGACTTACGCCAATATTTAATAAAGAATCGAGAACTGCCGTGGTAGAACAAGTTGCCATGATGCTCATTTAATTTTAGATATTTGTGATAGTGTGCGGCCGATGGTTAGTGGACCAGAATATACAGATCATATGAAAAGGCCTAATACGGAAGAATTGTGTAATATTTTTGGAACATGGGCAAATGAACTCCCGCACACTGGATGGCTTAAAGGAGACAAAGCGGATAGCGAAATTGCCAGGCAATTTTTATTTGCAGGTGATGAGACAAAATAAAAACACAATCGCAGAGCAGGGGTCATTCACCAAGGTGCATTATATAACAGTCGTTCGTTAACTCAATACATCACGAGGGCGTTTGTGAGACTAATTTTATAAAGGAAATACAGTGACTCGCAAAAGAAACGAAAAGTTTTACAAAATAAATTCTAATGCCTCTAACCTCGATTTAATGAATCTGGTTCCTATGCTCATTTTAAGCAATACTAAAAGAATTATGTTATTTACAAACAAGATTGAAAAGGATTGACCTAATAAAAAAGCTTGATGAGATCTACATTCCTAAATTAGTATCAAATTCGTTTTAGTTATTAGATTAGTGATCCTAGCCGACTCGGATGCACCGGAACGTAAATAAATAAAAATTTCTAAATTAGGAAATTCACATGATCTGAAGCAAAAATTCCGGCTCGGTTACGCCGCCGGCTAGGATTACTATATTAGATCCTGAAGTACCAAATTAATGTACTAATTTCGCTGAAAATTGGTATGAAATACAGTGGCTCACTTATGAAAACAGGACATGAAAAGTTATACGAAAAAAATCCTAGCACTTCCAATATCGATTACATGCACCTGGTTTCTATACTCATTTTAAACCCTTTAAAGAATGTCTAATAAATATTTTATTTTTCCCATTTTACGAAAATTAAGTGATCTATACGAATATTTTTAATTAGTGAATTTTAACTTCAAACAGTCTAGTAAAATTTACTTCGGGATCTAATAACTAGATGAATTTGATACCAATTATAGTTCTGCACGTTTTTATTAGGTCCTTCCTGATAAAAAACTGTTTGAAGTTAAAATTTCACTAATTAAAATATTAGTATAGATAACTAAAATGGGAATAATAATATATTTATTAGACATTTTTTAAATACTCTCCAGATTATTAGCTCTAAGATGAATGTAGAAATCAGGTGTGTTTGATTGATATCGGAAGTGCAGAAGCACATTTTTTATTAGGTCAATCCTTCCCGATTAAAAAACTGTTTGGAGTTGAAATTTCACTAATTAAAATATTCATGTGATCACTTAACTTCTTTAGAATTGCAATATTATCATTTTTTTTTTTTTAGATATTCTCTAGGTTATTAGCTTTAAAATGAGTATAGGAACCAGATTCATTTAATTGGCGTTAGAGACACTAGAATTTTTTTGTAAAACTTCACATTTTTCGTTTCTTTTGCAAGTCACTTTACAATCAATTCTGTCAAGTTCGGTCAACTCTCTTTTAAATGACTGGTCAAAAATTCAAGAATCCTATTGGCTATTTTCGGCCATCTGATGTTTAGACAAATATTGCGATACTATTGGTTAAATCTTTGAATAATGAATTTTTGTTATTTTATGTTAATAAAACCAGACGATTAATAAGGAATTAACAAATGTCAATTTAACTGCTAATGTAACACACGCTTTAAATAAAAATATGGCTAATGAACAAAGGATAAATTCGATAACTGAGGTTGAATCGTATACGGTGGCTCACAAAAGAAACGCAACACGGAAAAAAAACGGCGAGATACGAATATCTCGCCGTAGGGGAAACTTGGAAAACTAAAAGGTGAGTAAATATCTCTAGTATTGATGATATCAAAATTCTATCTTTTAATTGACACTACACTAATTTTTATTTAGTGTTGCACTAATTATGACCGAAATGGAAGGTGAGATAGGAGGGCGAATTTCTAACTAGGTAAGTAACAAGCTGCTAAATTTTTTTCGTACTACATACTTCAATATTCTATCTAACCACCCTTCGCTTTTATTACCTCACTAATCCTTTTTGGCATAGATTCGTACAATAATCGAGATCTATATTCTTCCACGCCACTTGCAACTTTTCCCACAACTGTTCTGTGGTTAAAAGAGTTACCTCATACCTCATTCCCATAAATTTTCTACGGGGTTTAGGCCGGGATACTGGGATGGTCAGTCTAGCAAAGTGATCTCGTTGTCGGCGAACCATTGCTTTGCTTTTCCGGAGACGTGTTTTGGGTCATTCTTGCTGGAAGATAAAATCATTATCCTCCAGCCCTTTCTCCCAGACTGATCCTAGAAGATTATTTGTTAGGATTTCCACATAGCCATCCGAATTCCTTTTTCCCACAATTTTTCTCAACTCGCCAACACCGTCGCACGTCACGCAACCCCAAACCATAATCGAAATTTGACGGTTGGCGTAATATGCTGGTCTTTTAACTGACCACCGGCCTTCTTCCAACAATACTTTCGGCCATCCGACCTTAAAATTTGGTACTCGTCGCCATTCGTCGGCCGTCCAAGTTCAGTATTTTTTCGCCCACGCCAACCGTCGTTTTTTTGTGTGTTCGTTTGAGGTAAGGCTTCTTTCGTTTTATGCGAGCGAATCCGTTTCTACGGAGCATGCGTCGTATGCTTTCCACCGAAAGGTCAACGTCCAACTCATTTTTAAGCTCTCGTTGGACCTCGACAGCGGCGGAACATTTTCCGGAGTGGATTAATCGGCACGTGTTTCTTTCGTAGAGTGTCGAGAGGATTGGTGGGCGACCGGTTTTTGGCTTGTCATCGAAGCTTCCAGCCTCTTCCTTCTTTTTGCATGTCCGGTAGGCGGCGGCCGGGTCTACTTGCTCCGATGCTGCGATTTCCCGCATCGAATATCCTTCTTTCCGGAGCATATATATACGGGCGCGTTTCTCTTTAGGGATTCTAGACATTATTATGAAAAATGGATCAGTTTATTTGCTAGAATGTGAAGATTTATTTTTTTAATTTACAATCATCAAAGGCGTTTGTACTTGATGCATCTTTAATCAAAAGATAGAAGCGAATAAATTTTGATATCATCAATACCGTAGTTATTGATGAATCAATACATCCACCTTTTGGTTTCCCAGGTTCTCCCTACGGCGAGGTATTCGTATCTCGCCGTTTTTTTTCCGTGTTGCGCTTCTTTTGTGATCTTGACGGTCAAAAGTAATGCAACAAAAAATTAAAATTTATTAGAATCGAAAATTTTAATAAATCGAGGGCGAGGACAGATTGTGATCGGAAATCACATGATCTGCATTTTTACGGTTTCACTCGACTAGACTTGTGATGTTCATACAACGATCCGTTAGCATAAAAATATAAACGGAAGTTTTTTTTCAGACGACACGTGCAACTGTAATAGCCATGATGCCTATTATAAGAAAGAACGTAAAATCTACCCCTCTTGACAATATGGCCTCGTTTGAATATATTAACTATAACGACTATAACGACTATATGGACTTTGCGATCAGATATTTCAAAGATCACAAAAAGTGAAGAAGAAAGAAATCTATAAGACATCGCTCGAATCGAAAAAGGTAAGCTGTCAATGCACGTTTATTGGAATAATTGGAATGTTACAACACATATTGGGAGCGTTAAGAGTAGAATTTATACTGATTTCTATGCCCGTTGTGCTAAACCTAACTCACGCGGAAGCCGTTTCTCTTTAGTGTTGCCATGTGCACCAAGATTAGGTATGATTGCTTCAGCTTTCATTTGCGGGTTTTATTTTGAACTGGTTAACACCTTGTTTTTCTTTGTAGGAGGTCTTGGCGGGACGAATATCAAGCCCTTTTATGCAGAAGGAGGTGGGATCTACACATATGAGGGAATCGATCTTGATAATCCTGATATCTGTCCTCGTGAAGACTTGAGAGAGGACGCGTTTTGCTTGTGCGATCTCCACCCATGGCTGGCAAGACTTCACAGGCCCAACTGTTAGAACGATATCTCCTTCGAGACAACAATTTACGTGTCTTTCGTATTTTACTCTTATGGATGGATGAGCCTTGGACATTTAAAGAGGAATTTAAATAAATTATGAATGGCACCACTTGGAATCAGTTTGTGAGGAGTGCAAGCTCGTTAAAACAATCCCCATTATCGATGAAGTTCAGGTATGAAACTCCTTTGAGGACGTCCTTTATTTATCTTTTTATGAATTCTCATTTGATATTTGGTAGATGCTTTATTCCAAAGGACTCCACGAGCCTTCATATCATGGTGGTGATGCTTTCTTGAGTGTGGTCAAGAACTGCCGGCAGTTTGGTCAGCTCTGCATAGTTTCCTTTGCCGTATATGGTTACCAAGGTGCCTGGGATGGCTCAATGCTCACAATGGATGTATCACCAATTGCGATCAACCTTCAGAATACTTGGAGTTTAGAAAACGTACGCTTCACCGATGAAGAATACAATGACTACATCTCATGTTTCTGTAAAAAATATTTTGGAAACATGAAAGATGATGATGCTTTATGTCTTCAACAATATGTGTACAATATGACAGATCGTCATCCAGGACTGTCGCATTCTTCATGGACCTTATTTCAGCCAGCAATTGAAGTACCCAAAAGAGGGTGAGACACTGAGATGGGTCAATATTTTCAAGTATTTGAAGACGTATAGTTTTTGGACTGCAGTAATTGCGGCGAATGATCCTTTTGGATTTAATCCAAGAAGTCTGTGCTAATGATGAATATGCGGGTTCATCCCAGAAAAAATAAAGAATGCATAAATTTTTATCAGCTCGTCAGTATTCCCGGTGATGCAATATTATATAATCTTGATCTCAACCTAACTCTAACCCTTAACCCAATCTTCCTTAAAATCGATTACATTGTGCTTGTTTGACACAAGATTGTATCATTATACTCATTGATTCTGTTTGTGCAGGGTGTTCGTGCATACCACATCTCAGACATCTGAGCGATAATGAGAAAATGCTTTGTGATAATGTGTTTTGATATTCCACTGATACCAATAGGTTCGCGAACGAATTAACGCTCAAAACGATAATCGAAAAAAAAGGAAAATTCGAATTTGCTGCACCTTACCTGTGCGTGCTTTACATGCGGGAGCGTTGGGAACCACTAGCAGGGTGGGAGAACCTCAGAAGCTTCATAATTGATACCTTCATTGTCATGGACACCAAGGCATTACAGAAGTCATTTGGTGTTGGCAAAGACAAGCGACTCCTAGAGCGAGTATGGCAGATGGAGTTTTACCGGTCTGCCACTCAAGTCCTTCCTAATGATATCAATATTTCTCCTAATGTTGGATCAGATTTCGGTTCACGTGGATTCGTAGGCTTCTATGTTGATGATGACCGGGATGATTGAATTACTACGAGATGATGAAAAGGCATGGGAGCATGAGAATCAGATGGTGTCTATGCCAAAATCGTGGAGAACTCCAATGAATCAGTAATAATTAAGATACGAAATCCCAATCTTTGTGATAGCCCATTGAAGAATACTGGTGATAATTGGATGAACGTATATTGCCAGAAAGGATGGGAATCGGTGATAGTAGCGTATAAGGGTATGAATGAGGAGGTTAAACTCATCATGGATGATGTTTAAAGAGGACTACAAAAGATTAAAAAAAGTTAGAATTGCCATAAATGATGGATCCATTCTGATGATGCTGGTTCATTTTATAATTTCTAAACTCCTAATAAGACATATTAAGTCAAACTATTTAGTTCAAATTATTATATATCACATAAATAATCTACATTTAATATTTTTGTGCCGAAATTTGGATCATTTTAGAATTATTATATGAAAAGTTAAATTATCGGTTATTTATAAGAATTGGTCTTATTTAAAATAATTTTAACTAAACCACGCATATATTTACGTTTATTGAATTACGTCCATGTTATAAAGTTTAAAAAACTTATACAATTTTTATAATTTCACCTGCCGAAGATTTTTATAATGGAGTTTAAATGGATTATAAAATTATTAATTTTTAAATTTAATATTCACTGACACATGTATATCGAACATCCCAACGTTGCGTTGCCTGGTTTGCCCGGAGTAATTATTGGAGCAAACCCAGAGTATTATTCCCGGAGCAATGATCTACGACTGGCTCCATTGGTGTATGAACCCAACCCATTAACAACCCTAAAGCTTCCTTGAGTGGGTGGTTACCACGATAATTTTAGCTTGACGAATAATTTGTTCTGGTGAATTTGATTCGCGAGTTTGAAGAGGAAGCGAAAGATGAAAGATACGATAATAGTCATTAAAAAAGAGAAGACCTGATATGGTAGATCAGTAAAATACGTCGCTGAAGGAAGCTAGTGAAAGTTTATTATAATTCTTTCGATCATATCTAAAAAAAAGAATCTATGCACGAAAACATTGCTGGCCAGTGACCGCTTCGAAATATTATGGGATAGAAATCTAAAACATATTATCTATTAAATATCATCTTTGCAATCCCAGAATTTTATTACGTCTGCTCTGCTCTTTTTAATATATTAATTGTATATGGTCTGAACAGTAACACTAAGATATAAGATATATGCACTTTTTAAATTAGTTTATGAAATATCTGGTAAAAAGCGAAAATTTAAATATGCCTTTCTTGACCTTCAAACCAATGAATATTATTATTAGTAAGCAACCTTTGGTATCGCACGACAATATTTTACCTTATCACTATGAGAAGTTGCATTTAGAATGCTACGGAATTTGCTTATTAACTTTTGGAATTTTGGGATACGTATTGTGCAAAGATGTTTCTATGGTATTGAATCGATTGTTATGTGTGATATGAAACAATAGAAGCGTTTTGTTTTATATCCGATATTTTTTAAGAATCATCTTTATTGTTAACTTTACATACACGATAGTCCCTATAGAACTATAAATGTCAGCAATGAGTTCATTTATTATCATTTTGCAAAGTATGTTAATTGTTAACGATATAAGTTTCTTTTAAAAAATTCCGCTTTTGTTAGTGGATATTCAAGGTGATTTTTTCGATACAGATCTTCAGTAATCACTTTTGGTTGGTTTAAACTGAGAGACTAGTCATTAATGGGGAACTTTTTTTTAAAGTTCTGACAAATTTATCGAATTCTACCAATTAAAAAGAACACATCGCCCACAAGCCTGTGTTTATAAATAGTATCACAATGTAACAGAGAAATACATGTATTTAAAATTTCCCTTATTTTTGTGCATATCCTCGTGGAACATAATCGCCGACAATATCATTATTGTCGGTTACATGACAGAATAAGGAGTCATGTTTCCCACGGAGACAAAAAACTCGATATTTTGCACCTTTGTTCCTCTAGGGTTTCAATTTCGTTTATATAACATCTTTCGTAAAGACAATCAAATGATATGCTTTTCATTGCCTTTTTTGATAATATAGACAACGCCACGTCGTTAAAGAAGTCAACGTTGAAGGTTTTGGAAAGAAACAATGGCAAAAATTTGATGGCACGTTAATTAAAAATCTACTTTCTTCATGAATTTCAATTGGTTTGTGCATAAAAAAATTTCCGGAGGCGGTTATTGAGTTAACGGAGGACGAAAGAATGGGGTATACAAATTTTTTGTTGAACCATCTTGGAAATTATTGCAAAGAACCCCTTAAAGTGGTCTCTATTCGAATAATGACTGCATTATAGCTGTTAAAGGTTAAATGAGTTGAATAAATGAAAGTTCATCTTTTTGATTCTAGAAGAATTTTTCTTGAATACTTTCATTTACAAAGAATCTTTTCCCAAACATTCCCAACCTCAATCAGCAACTTATGCAGAATATCATCACATACTTTTGTACACGCATGTATGCATGCATGCATGCATGCATGCATACATACATACACCATAGATGAATTCCACACTTGCCGATGGTACCAGAGATGATAAATCAAATTCCTAGTTATTTGTCTTTTTTCTTTTGTCTATTATATTGCTGCATCCTACTTGCATTCCTTACATCTCTTTTTTCATATTAAGGAATTATTGATTATTAGTCGAAAATATTTTTTCGTAATAATAAATTAATTGGAGAATACTTATTACTAATATGCGACTAATAACCATATATACAGCATAGAATATTACTTGCTTCCATCACCACCACCCATCAAAGCGATCTCGTTTCCTCCAAGAAATATGCAAAAGTACATTCACCTGTCATCTGCAAAGCACGAACAAACTATAATAGTTACAAAAAATTGTAGGTTAAAGGAATAGAGCTTCATTCTTTTGCAACAAAACTCCCCCTTGAATATATAATGGACACTACCCATATTTCTTTTCTTTTTTTTTTAATATTTTTCGCGATTTAATTAATTTATCTGACATCATTAATCAATAAATCTTGTTATACCATGTTTCAAAGAAGATTTCTTTTTTGGCAAACTTGTGACCACTAAATTATAATATATATTAAATATATATAACTTAATTGAACCACTCATTCTCGTACAATATTTCTTGATTGTTTCTAATCATCAGTCACAATAAGGAAAAAAGAAGAAACTTAAAATAAATTCAATCTTCATCCAATCATCACCGACACTAAACCATTTAAATATTTATATTGATATATACCGTACTATTGATCACACATAAAAAAAAAAGAATAATCCCAACATACGCATTATTACTGAAACCAGTCCCAGTCACTTGTTATTACAAAAAAAAAGTATATAAACAAACGTGATCGTTTTTAACTTGTTATTTTGTTACTTCCACTAAAAATATCACAAGCACAAAAAAAAACGAATTATTTTATTTACCCTCCTCTTAGCATAAATATATATTTACATTTATATATATATATATATATATATATATATTTATCTTTCTCTCTCTCTCTCTCTCTATATATTTATCTCTCAATATCATTTTGTTACGAATTTGAAACGAAACCATTTTTAATAATAAAAACACAAAAATGCCAAATTTAACGAGACAATCAATTGAACATTTTATTCAACTTCAACCAAACACACCAAAAACAATGACGAAGACGACGACGAATACAACAGCTTCTAAATCAATATCACCCTCAAAATCACCTCGTCTATTTAGACGATCTAATAGTGTTCCATCATCACCTTCGTCCTCATCATCTTCAACCAAGAATCTATCTTCTTTTCTTCCTTACCGAAGTAGCACTTTCCCAAAATCTCATCATAATAGTCAAGATCATTTAACTCGTTTATCATCATCATCAGATCGATCGGAAGAAGACGACGTTTCAGATCCAAAAAATCCTGTCTTTCTTTCGTATGGGCTGAAGTATCCCGATTTTTCAATAAAGACTCATTGTCCACACTGTAATAAATATGTGCGGACTATTGTACAACACGAGAACGGCACTTGTGTTTATGTGTTGGCGTCCGGTTTATTTTTAACGACTGTTGTTCTCTTTTGGGTACCATTTTTTATGGATGCTGTAAAAGGTTTGTTCATATTTTTTTTTATTGAATCTTTGCTTCAAGTTCATAAATTTGTGTTCACCCCTTTTTAACTCTTGATTTGATTCGTCGGTTTATGTGTCTAGATGTTAAACATAGTTGTCCGAATTGTCGAAATTACTTGGGAACGAGACATCGTCTATAACAATTTAAAATATTCTTGCTCGATGTATATAACCACTAATAATCATCTTAGCAACCAAAACAATAATAACACCACAACACAGCAACCACTACTATTTTTATCATTGACAATCCTCATACTTTTCAGTTCCGCACTGAATACATATTTGTTTCGCATACAAAGCATGGAATTAATACTCGAACGAAAAATCTAACTACCATCACCATCACCATCACCACCACCACATATATAAATAACAAAAATTAAATAAATAAATGGGATTCAAAGGAGAAAGTGGAAAGGGAGGGCTAACAAGGATGACTATCAAACAATTATTGGGATTTATGATACAAAGACAATGGTTAATTCTCATCTTTAATTGTACATTTTAATAGTATAGCATTTTTATTATTCATTATTCATTATTATTTATATTTGACATTTCTTCGATACTCGCATCATTCTTTAACTCTCAAAAGATTTACTCACTAAAAATAATAATTTGGATATGTCGCAGCACGTTACATGTATCATGTATCAAGGAGTGCAGCGCTGGTTATCACCGAAACATAAGTTAACATTAAATCTTTACTAATGTAAAAAATTTAAAATAGCCCAATGCTTTGAAAAATGAACATTTGGGTTCCATAAAAAGTAAAATTATGTGTGAAACATACGTAATATTACACATGCTCTGGCTTAACATTATAAACCAATAAACCTTAGTATAATGTCACGATTTTGAACTGTAATTTTTAGAATTTAAATGTCGGGATTTTCCGTTTTCTGGAACGGCACCCATTAGATACCATTTTTCTCATTATTTTAAGCAAAATGAAATATAATTCAAATGCTTTGAATCCATCCTTCATTTCTAACATTTGTCAATTCTACAGACAGTCGGATTCTTATAATATATAATAATATCAAAAAAATGAATTTCCGTTTACTCGACTGACTATTAACCCTAAAAATTGTTTTTTGGGTCACGACCAAACTCATTATCAAAGAGATTAGTTTATGGAATCTCGAGTTACATGAAATAATTTTTTGGATTCAATTCATTCGCCCCTCCACCCACCCAAAGTCATTGACTTCCTCCGGATTTTTTTTTGCTACTCACGAATTGAATTTCAGAGAAAAAAAATGATTTAATGCATCATTACATCAATTTTCCTGCCATTGTTTCTTTTTTCCAAAACAATAAGACTTACAGTGCAGCATTACTTTTAATATAATGGCGTTACTTATATTATTAACTAAAAAGGGATACGAAATCGGATTATCGTTATAAGATATGGGATCTTTTACCATGATTTTCCCAATTATATCGTCGTCGATTATGCACCACGAGTATATGTGTATTTTCTGTTACAGAACGTCAAAGAAACTCCATTTATGTCCATAAAATGACTAACGCCTCAATTTAAACCAACCAAAAAACGATATCATAATAATAAAATAAATAAATAAATGAACTCGTTCTGACATTTATAATTCTTTAAGGGTTAGCGTTAGCATTTAGAGTTGATAATAAGATATTCATATGAAACAAAACGTTTCATCGCACAATATGCATGTCATTTATTCTAAAAGTTAACAAAGAAATTCCGCTTTTCATAGCGATAGTGTTAATATTGTCGTACAACACCAAAGGTGGTTTAGTATGTATTAACGTTAACGTTATCGTAATATTCTGTCCCGATTTAAATTAGGAATAAGAGTTAAGGCTATTGTAACTTCTAAAATAGAAAGCATCAAACCCGATATAATCACTATTAACCGGTTTCAAAGATTGGGAGGCTAACTCTTAAAAAGACCTTTTTTAGAGTTGAATCAAGCATATGTAATTTCTATGCATCTAACAATCGATCTAATATTAGCACTTCATATAATTGATTTTTTGAACACAACCTTTCGACATATTAAATTAATATACACATCAGTTGGAATTTTATTCCATTCTTCATCGAATCCTTACTTCAAAATTAATATCAATTCCAACAGGTACAATAATTTTTATTAGTTTTCAGGCGCAAAACAGATTTCGATCACATGAAATTGAAGAGAATAAGTGACTTTCAAGAAAAAATATTTTATACTTTTATGCTTATTAGCTTCCTATATATCTAACATCTAATTACACAATTGAGTAAACTGTGGTCAAGCCAGTGATTGATTGATCTTTATGGCTCGATGAAAAAATTTTTTTCTCGTTCATATAATAATATTGAATCATCTCTAATCGCAAAGAATAAGAATATTTCACGGCATAACCATATGAACGATACCATAACCGATTAAGAAAATTAAGCAAGGGGGCAAAATTTACTGATCGATAGAATTAAGAACAGACGACCTTTACTGCAAGCTATGATGATTATAAGTGTCGGAATTCGATGATATCAAATGTATGCACAAATTGGTGCATTGTAAAATTTATATTAAAGTAAACTTCGAGTTTTATTTAATTTATAATTAATTTTCCCTCTGATAATTTAATTTTTTAATTTAATCTTCACATTTTAGATCAATAAAAATATATTCACATTCACCGCGAAAATATATTCCTGCTTGTAAAAGCTGCTGTGATGGGTGTTGTGGTTGTAGCGGTGGTGGTATTGAAGACAGCACCGGATTTAAAGAATGCTGCTGGTATTGAAGACAGCACCGGATTTAAAGAATGCTGCTGCTGTGATGATGAGGTGAAGGCAACACCGAATTTAAAAGATTGTTGCTGTGGTGATAATGATGATAATGAAGACAACACCGGATTGCTGCTGCTGCTGCTGTGATGGTGGTGATGATATTGATGCCTGCTGATTCTGCTTCTTTTCTGGCGACGATGATGTTGATGATGGCGACGACAACATTGAGCAGTGGTGGTAGTGATGATGACAAAGATGGTTTATTGCCCGCCTTTTAAATTTGATCATATTGCCACCATGTCTCGGTTGCGCTTTTTGGAACGTTATCATCCTTAGGAATTTACGGCGACAATTTTTTGATTTGAAGTGGTAATGTCCCCATCTAAAGTTTTTAAATTAAAAATAATTTTATTTATTTATTATTTAAGAAAAACAATCACTAATTCGTCTTCCCCCCCCCATCATTATGCGTCTGTCTCCAACAGTATATGTCTTTATTAGTAATATTGGAAAGATCATTGCTTTTATTATCAAAGATGGAAAAAAATCTTCAACATTTTGAATCGTCATCGCAATCAAGCTATAGTATAATAGATAAACAATACCCAAGTAAAAATGACCGGATAACCATTTAGACTTGACGATAATAAGCATACTCAACACTTATAATCTATTCTCAAAAAAGACCCTTAAAAACACGAATAATAACCTAGAATCTTCAAATACCTAAAACCAAGAAACTGTTGCGCCTTTTTCTTTTCTGTCGCCCGAGCGCCGTTCATATTCCTCCAAGGTGACACCAACAGCAAGTGTGTACGGAAGTCTTGATACGAGTAGCAAAAATTGGCTTTTATCTCACTAGATCATAAAAATATCCAGTCAACGTTAAAAACAAGTAGGAAAGGGACTTACGTTGCTTCTTCCCAATTTGCTTTTCGATGGAAATCGCCTTTTTTTCCTCACGTTCAACAATTAAAATCGAGGCTTTTAATATAACAATCAATTTTCTTTTTGAAACGGTTCCACATCGCTTCATTCAAAAAATCTCGAATATGATTAGATAATAATAATTTGTTTTTGAAAAATAATAGCTTGTATCTCGAAATTATGCCTATGAAATTACTTTCTGTGTTCTAACAAAAAATGTTCCTTGCGAAATTTTACTCTATATTTGATATTACTTCTACTCTGACTTTAACGTTATTTCTAGCCAGACCATTCACAACGCGACTTTTAGTGGCACTTCCGTAATGAGGAACGAAAAATTCAAAACAAATGTTTATTTACCCCTTATTTACAAACTAATTTGCTAACTATAGACCGCGATTTACCATCTTTTGATTGGCTGAAATATTTTTTGATGATCTGCACCTGATTTTAGATCTTCGCATTTACTAATTTCCCCCTGGAGTTTTGATTGGACAATGGAATATCTTGCCTCTGATTGGACAAAATCAAATAATATTAATTCCCGGTAATATTATAAAAGTTAGGATTAGTGTTAAGGTTAGAGTCAATGATCGAGATCATATGTAAAATTCCTTCTGAGCATTTTTTTATTAATATACCAAATTAGGTTTATGTATAGGTTTCTCATATTTTTCGGATTTGTTTTATTAGGCAGGGCACCTTTTTGATGACTTTTCTAACTTGTGAAAAATTGCATATCCTGTTTGTGAGTCAAAGTCGTGCTGTGCTATTACATTGTTCTTTTGTTAGATCCAAATGTTGCCATATTTTGGAAAGAAATTGATTGCGAAAGGGAACCGAATATTGTACGAAGTGAATGTACCATGGCATTGATGTTTTTTGACATTGTCATTGCAAAAACATAACATTGTTTTTTATTTCTGATACAAGTCAGAAGGGATGTTACAACTAATGGAATGGCGTCTTGAGTATAATCAAGACAACAAATGCAATACACCAATATAATCTTTTATCCTGGCTCCCGGAATGTAATCTAATTGTTAGTGGACACCCGAATATATCCTGACATAGGTTTATTTTAAATAATTTGTAGATTTGACATAAAATTCTTTGATTGTGATAGAATGTAGAAAATAAATGTTTATCCTTGAATCTCTAAATTATCGAGCATAAAGTTTTTCATACTTTGTAGTCCATATTGACTGTTATTAAGGACAATAATATAAAGGAGAGTGAACGTGCGATTTTATTCCTGAAAATATGTCAATCGAATCCTCGCTAATTTTTAATCTTCCATTCAGATTCAAGAGGCCGAAAACAACAATCACATCAATCAACAGCGAAATTCACAATACAAAGTTATGAAGAAAATGAGACCTTCAAAAGTCATCTGTTGTTCATATCGATGAGGATGACTCAGAATATGCTTCGAGTTTCTTTTTATTTCATAAAAGGTATCTTAGGCGACCAAATAAAAATAGCAGCTATTGTGCTTTAATATTCCAAAACTAACTGCAAAGGAAAAGAAATTTATTGACAAACTCTTGATGGTAATCAGTAAATTTTTATTTTCAGGTGGAAGATGTTGATGATGTTCCAGCAGTGACAGTAAAGAAAAAAAGCTTTTCAGCCGCATGTAAGTGTAGATATATAATTTGCTAAAATAACATCCAATGGCTATGTATCTCCTTCAGCCTTGATTCCGTAACAATGCTCAGAAAGGATGACTTATCTGAAGTTGAGTATTCGTTTAGCAATGTTGTCCCTCTGCCGGACATGACAATAGGAAAAGATGGCTATTATTGGGTGAAGTCGTAAGTGAACTAAGTACCTGTATGAAGATTGATTGATTTGTTTTCATACAAATGCGCTATCATCAATTATTATTAGTGGCGAATCCATAAAATATCTACAAGAATTAGTCCCAAAAATGGCTCGAAATACAGACGCATCTCGACGTGCTAAAAAATCCAAGTTATCTACTTTGAAATCAAAACTAGGTCTGTTAAATTCAGCACTATACGCAACTTACAGATTAAAATTTAAGGCTATAAATAAAAATCTTAGACATTATCACCTAGTTGGAAAATTTGATGATGACGATGCCCCTGAGTCATCACCATACCAAACAGAAGGACCCTTTTATGAAAATGGTGAGGATATACGTTATGGGTATAGTAAACTTTCATCTGATGAGATAGAAACTCTCCCAATTCTGACATACAGTTGCGTCAAGCTTTGTTTGATATCTGTTAATGTATGTATCTATTTAATAAGGGTCTATGATATATCTTACAAAAGGGGATTTTTGTGATGCTTAAAAATGATACTTGTAAAAAATACCCTATCGATAACACCATTTTTGTGACTTAAAATCAAGATCTATACAATTATACATCCGTTTCTACTCTATGAGTTTTTTTCCTCTCATAGCAATTTCGAAAATAAATCCTCTTCGCATGTTTAGGACAATACCCCGTCCCAGAAATTGTTAATTTTCCACAGATCCCACAAGGAAATTTCGCAATATTCCTATCATGTAAAGCCCAGTGCAACGAACACCCCGTGACTCGCCAACGAATTGAGCCATCTCTTTTAACATGTCGACAGGTTGAACGCTCCATTCAAAGTGTTTTAATATATATAAAAACCGTTTCACTTTTATGCGAATATATTTAATATAAAACTAATTTAAATTTTTTCAGATTACAATAATATATTATATTCGAAGTATTACTTATAACCTCTCATACCCCCATAAAACCCTGTATATTTACTAGCATATTTTTACTCGCATTTTCATGTATATAAAAATCAATTTAAACTTTTCCAGAATATTTTGTAATAATATAATCGAACATATATTGACACTACATATCACACCTACTATGTACACTGAAGAGCCAGAGAGCATAACAAAGAAACAACTACCTCAGAGGAGTTATTCGAATTGGCTAGACGTTCAAGAAAGCCAAAAGTCTATAACCCCAAAACAAATCGTATGATTGCATCAATGGGCCAGTATATAATAGATTGTTATGTGATGGTTATATGCATTGGAAAGAGGAAAGACTATTAATCCCCCCCCCAATTCATGAAAAACAGACGTTAGGCAAATGCCTTTCATTTATATCAAATCGAATTTGGCAAATCGCGCATGATCCAGAAAAACGTTTGCTTACGTTAATTGACCTCAAGATATAAACCAAACGCTCTATAGGATGCATTTATCAAGACTAATGTCTTAGGACCAGATCATATACTTGCTCTTATGTGAGCATTACATTAAAAAATGAAATATGATAGCATAGTTACTATATAACTGCCTTCGGCAAATCATAATATAGCCTAGGATCTCATTCCCGAAGCTATAAATTTTTTTCGTTAAATTCTATGTGTTAGCAATATTTCAAATCGAAAGATCTGACCCAAGGCATAGGCGCGTATCATGTGCTTGACATCTATCGATAATTTTTCCAATAACCTCTTTGAGTAATACTATATCCACCTTGATATCTTCAATATTTTTTGTTATCTTATTACGTAGAGCTATGGATTCTAGAACTTTCAATCTATTTCGTGACTTACTCGTATCATTTCTCGATAGAATTCCTCTAATCATGATCCATTCAATTTTTGGGCATAGATATACTGATCCGGATAGTTAATTTCGATTTGAAAAAATATTTCTATAGTTATAGTCCACACAAATATCCCAATCTACAATGTCAAAAGTTGCATCAAATTTCGTAAATCAGTATAACTTAACTCCTCAGATGAGTATAGCTAAGCTTGGTAATTATGCTGAAAAAATATTTAAAGATTTAAAAGATTATAAAGCTCGTGATCATGCTCAGATTTAACAGAGATCAGATATATACTTTAATTCCTATCCAAACTTCTGGAAGACGTGTTACAGGATGAGATCCAGTTAAGAAGCTTGCTCAATATATTAAGAAAAATGAAAATAATCTTGAACCTGAAGAAATATATGCACTAGCATATTACTTGACTAAAACAGTCAACACCATAATAACCCAATCTTCACATCTTAAATTGCTTCGAAAAAATTACATAAACTTAATACTGATTATATTACATTGAAATCTATATATATATCCAATATTACTTAAAAGTCAAATAAAGAATAAGCAATAAGGCAAGAGCTTCATGAAGATGAAGAATTGATTGTCCCAAATTCTTTTATCTGAAAAATATCCAAAGAAGACTTAATGATTATGACACTACCAATTCTCTCACAATACAAAATTTAATTAATATTATAATAATATTATGTATGAGACTAGCAGATGTGAAAAATCTCTATATTGCATATTATAAAGCAGATAGTTTAGAATGGTATAATTCTAAATATTTTTGATATTGTACTGAATATGCAAAAAATATAAAAGATAAAACTTGACTATTAGTATCTATGGAGAAAGATCTATTGTGAATTAAAAAATTACTTATTTAGATCCAGAAAGCAATTTCAAATAAATTTTCATTTCTAATAAAAGATGAAGATAGTGATGTAATTGTTCATTCAATTAATAATTTTCTAATAATTTATAGTATAAGTTCATCATATTTGAGAAAAATAGAGTCTGAATATGCTATTATAACTTATAAAGATAAGAATAGTATTCAATATAAATATTTCTATCAATTAGCATTAAGATATAAGATGATTAATATTATATTAGATCATTATAATATAATGAATAATAGATTAATTATTTCAGTATTCAAGCAAAAAATTTTAAAGTTAAAAATAACATTAATTTATATGATAAATTTTTTGATGATAAGAACTAGTTATTTGATAGTCTTCAGCTAATTACTAATTATAATATCTTTATTTTTTGAAATTATTATTAATACATAATAAAAAATAGAAAATAAATTTTTTAATCAAATATATATCACATAATATGATTTATTATAAAAATAGTCAAAGCTAGAGTAAGAATACAAAAAGTTAATTTTAATCTTACATTAGATTTTCTTGAATTCTCTATATATACTGTTGTGATATGAACTTTTAGTAGAATATTAGTTAATTTTATTATTGGTCGCTTCATATCACAATATGATTGGATGA